TATCTATCTATCTATCTATCTATCTATCTATCTATCTATCTATCTATCTAATCACTTTAAGCTTGATCCCAGCTCCTTCTTTCCTCTCAGTCCCACCCTCATGCCCCCCCCCATTTTCCACTCTCTTTCCAGAGAAGAGGAGGCTCCCAAGGGGTACAAACCCACCCTAGCACCTCAAGTCACAGCAGGACTAAGCATATCCTCTCCTGCTGAGGCCAGACAAAGCAGCCCAGCTAGGGGAAAGGGATCCAAAGACAGGCAACATAGTCAGAGACATCCTCTACTTCTCTTGCTAGGGGACCCATATGATGACCAAGCTGTACATCTGTTACATATGTGTAGGGATCTAGGTCCAGCCCATGCAAGCTCTTTGATTGATGGTTCAGTCTCTGTAAGCGCCAGTGGTCCCGGGTTGGTTGACTCTGTAGGTCTTCTTGTGGTGTCCTTGACTCCTCTGGCTCCCTCTATCCTTCTTCCCACTCTTCCACAAAACTCGAGTTGGCCTGTTGTTTGGCTGTGGGTCTCTGCATCTGTTTCTGTCAGCTGCTAAATGAAGCCTCTCAGAAGACAGTTATGCCAGGCTCCTGTCTCTAAGCACAGTAGAGCACTATCAGTAGTGTCTAGGATTGACTCTCTCCCATGGGGTGGGTCTTAAGTTGGGCCAATCATCGGTTGGACATTCCCTCAATCTTTGCTCCATCTTTATTCCTACACTTTTTGTGGGCAAGACACATTTTCTGTTGAAGATTTTATGGGTGGGTTATTATTCCTCTCCCTCCCCTGGAAGTTCCTCCTGGCTACAGGAGGTGGCAACTTCAGGCTCCATATCCCATGATGCTAGGAGTCTCAGCTATGGTCACTCCTAATGGCTCCTTCCCCAGAGATGGCCCCCTTGGATTTCTGTTCTGTCTTCCTCCTGCCTCTCCCCACACCTGATCCATTACCTCCCACCTAGTTTCCTCCCCTGATCTACTTCAGCTGTCTATTTTCTTTTCTCTTCTGAGTGAGATTCAAGCATCTTCCCTCAGGCCTTTCTTGGCTTCTTTGGGTCTGTGGGTTGTAGCATGGTTATCCAGTACTTTATGGTTAATATCCATTTATAAGTGAGGACATACCATGCATGTCTTTCTGGATTTGGATTATCTCACTCAGGATATTTTCTGGTTCCATCTATTTGCCTACAATTCCATTTTATCTACGTAGATTCTACAGTATGAATAAGAACAAATTGCTTTTTATTCAGTTTTTTGGAGTGTCTTGACCTAAAGGTACGATTAATAAGCTGTTCTTGGGCCAATGAGTTGGCTCACTGGGTAAAAGCACCTGTGGCTGAGGCTGACAACCAAGTTCAACCCTTGAGACCTTAATAGTGGAAGGAGAAAACTGACCTCAGCAAGTTGTTCTTTTACCTCCATCTGTGCACACTTGTAATAACACACACATACACCCCAAACATAAAAATAAAAGATATTCTTAAAACTTTCCTATCCAAAACTTTTTGTTGACACTGATTTGGCTTATCCATTGTGAAAATGGCCATTGTGCATGCCAGGCACCCTTCTGAGTCGTCCTTCCTCTTCCTTTCATACTGTCTTTTCTTCAAAGGTCATTCTTACTCATTGCTCCAGTTAGTTAACACGCTCTCTTTCTAGAGTTTGCAGCACTTGCAGCCTCTTCTCACACACACATCTTCACACTGCTGGCTACATTTTAGGATGTGTGTTACTCATCATTGCTATTGTTGTGAACACTTGCTTGAATCCTTAGAAACTTGAACATCGTGAGGACTCAACAAAATACCAATTGATAGAGTGCATTTATGTGCAAAGAGATGTGATCATTTGATAGAATTTATGTATGATAAAGGATAGTAAAAAAATCCTCAAAATTTGTGCGTCTTACAACATAAAAGTAACATCTTTACTATCTCTCTAAATATACATGCTTTGAAAACTACATCTGAACAATAATAGCTTCTCTTGGGAAACTCCCTCTTTAGGATTTTTTTTTTGGGGGGGTTATTACCAGATATGCTGAAGAAGATTTTTGATATTCTACATTACTGTTGGTCTGAAATAAGGTGCCTCCAGAACATGATCTTAAAGAAAATGATTTTTCTTCTTTTTTAATCACAGAAACAAGGACCAACTAATACGTTTTTGCATCATCTTGTCCAAGATGTAAAGCAGGTAACCTAACTATGAGAGTTGAAAATACTCTTTGCATAATAACTTAGCTTTGAGATAGTGGAATGAAAGTTTATGAAATGTAAGTTTGTATTTTATTGTGAATTACTTACTCTTTTTACGTAGGATTCTAAATACCTTAATCACCAATTTACTCTTTTATGTTCCCCACTTTGTTTCGGTTTGTAAAGTTTGACCCATCAGATAAGTGACATTAGTTATGACGAGCATGGAAAAGAAGGCTGTAGTTCAGTGACAGCATGCTTATGGAAGATCTGGAGTTCAACTGTCAGCACCACCACAAACAAGCAGGACCAAAACAAACAGGCCAGATTTTGTGGCTCATGCTTATAGTTCTGGCACTCAGGAGGCTGAGGCATGAGGATCCAGGTTTTGTGGGCAGCCTGGGCTGCATATTCAACCCTGTCTCAAAACAAACTACCAAAATAAACAAAGAAACATAAGCAATGGGCCAGCACCCCAGTGGACTATATCCATTACATAGTCAATGAGGACATCAGCAGCACAGGCCTTTTGGTGATGTCTAGTATGTGATTTTGGGATGTTTTTTTGTTTTGTTTTGCTTTTTTTTTTTTTTTTTTTTCCTGTCATTGTTTTGAGTATCAGTGGCAGCTCAGAGATGCAAATAATGCTTTTGTACATCTAAGCCCTGTCATAGGGAGTTAGGATGGTTTAACACCTTCGCTCGTGTTTTGTTCAGAATGTTCTCATTGCATGTTGAGCAATTTGCAACCTGAAAATTTGAAGTGTCTTTCACTTGTCACTGTGGTAAAAAGCCACCCACAGAATATTTAAAAAAAAAAAAAAAAGGGTTCTCTCAGGCTGGGTGTGGTGGTGCGCACCTTTAATCCCAGCGCTCAGGAGGCAGAGGCAGGAATGTCTCTGTGAGTTCGAGTCCAGCCTGGTCTACAGAGTGAGTCTAGAACAGCCAGGGCTCTGTTACATAGAAAAACCCTGTCTCTAAAAACCAAGAAAAAAAAAGTTCTCTTATTTTTTGAAGCTTGATTTCTCATTGCATAGAGTGTGGACTTTCTGCTTCTGTTGATTTAGTTGGAGCGTTAGATGACAGGAACATATTTACTTGTCAAATTTACAGTAAGCAAAATCGTGAATGTTGATATAAATTTAAGTTACATTGCTTTAAGCAAGAGAAAAATGACTTGCCTGAATTATCTCCTAAAACTTTATCACGATATGCTGAAGAGAAAGGGATGGATAAGCTAAATGTGTTGTCTTCTGAGAACATGGCCAAAGAGACAAGAGAAGAAACCCCAGAGCCGTGACTCCCTGCTCTTCCTTGCAGCACACACTTCTCTCGAGCTACAGAATCACGCTCATCGACATCGGGCTGGTAATAGAGTACCTCATTGGGGGAGCATATCGAAGCAGCTACACTAGGAAAAGTTTCAGGGTGCTCTACAACAACCTCTACGGAAAACGCAAGGTAACATCATTAAAAGGTACTCCAGTGAGAGAAAGGGGAACTGGGAATTGCAGTTTTAGAAAAGTGGCTGAAAGAGTCCCAGGGGCCAAAAGCTTCTGTCACGAGCCTTCTGTCAGAGGGCACATGTCACCTGCTGTACATAGTGTGCTGTGCTGAGGTTCTGTGTGCTGGCATGAGACGAATAAGAAACCTCTTAGAAGAAACAGATTGATAAGTAAATTACCCACAATATGAAATGGAATGTTACATGAGCCGCATTGACATTGAAGTGCTGTGATGAGGCTGGTTAAAGGGCAGCCGCTCTGTCTGTCTCTTCTTCCTCTTGAAAACGAGGCCAGAGGTCAAACACTTAATAGATTTACTTCCATAAACTAACAATGGCCTATATTCTCGAGACTGTGTATTGGGCTAAGCATCTAAGAATTATACTGCAAGATGTAAACAGACTGAGCTCAAACAAGAAATGGTTTTACAGATGAGAATATGCATTCTGTCATAGTTTTGGAGGACGAAGATTATAAAGGGAGAGTTGACATCATAGCCCTGTACCTAGAGAAGCCTAGTTCTTTCTAGAGGAACATTGGACACTGGTGTACAGAGAAGAGTGGGCACAGTGAAGGACATAGTGCTCGGATCTTAGGGCAGGGCTCTGCAGTGTCACTGAGACCTTTGGACAGGGATGAGACTAGAATAAGGCTTGGGAGGAGGTTCCATAAAGAACCTGGGATATCCAGCTACTTCGGACCTTTATAAATAATTGGAGAAAGTGCTAGCCCAATTTAAGTTCAGGAAACTTTTCTCCCAGGGGGGGAAACCCCTCATGCAAAACCACATCTTACCTAGGAAATAACCTCTGCTAAAATTTCTGAAGCCAATGGATACCCAGGATCAGCCACTGCCTTTGAAAAAGTGGCACTTCTGGGCATCAGTGGGGGCACGATCACCATGTGGCCTTGATGTGGAAATTTTCCATTCCTGCTCATTCTGGAAATGGCCCCTCAGTATGACATGTCCCATTTCTCTAGTTGCTTTTCCCAGAGTTGACTGCAACCAGACCACAGTGCTAACACCTTCGTGGTGTGGCATCAGAGAGGTCTGGCATTGAATCCTATTTGTTTCCTTACTTGATACATGAAACATTACCTGTCTGTGTTCCCACGCTCCTGTCTAGAAATGGGCACATTAATGTCCTGTTCATGAAGTTGTGAGACTATCAAAACCTGAGGTTTGTATCCTAGGATCTTATGGCAGTCTCTGTATTTGCTCTTTCTCCTTGCTGACACTTTATTTGGTGATCATGCAGTGAAGATAGTATATATCACCTGGAAAAATTCCAGAACTTTCTAGCTTCACTTTAACTTTAGAGCTCTTTGTGAATGGAAACTTTTTCTTATCAAGAACCATAAAATTTTATTGCCTGTTTTGAACTAGGTCTGAGGCTAGAAGATCTGTTGATTCTAAAGGAATTTCCACATAGGAAAGGAATTCAGGTGTGTAACAGGGAACAAAAGAGTATGCTCTCTAAGATGTCAGGAAATAGCAGTGTTCATCAGAAGGAGGCTGAGTGAGAAATCTCCAGAGATATTAATCATGGACAAGGGAACATTAATTATTAATCACAGACAAGGGACATAGGTGTTACGTGTTTGAGAGGACATATATTTAGTTTTTGACATTATCTGGAAAGAAAAAGTCACATTATAATATTTTTATCTCTTTCTTTTGTTTTCTTTAAAATCAAAATAACATTATGCCAGAGTGTGAGCAGCTTTGTTCAGAGCCTTTCCCAGCACCCTTTTCATCAGAGATATTCCTTGGGAAATCGAAAGGAGTCTTCGGAAAGCACACTGCATTCCCAGTTCTTTAGGACTGCCCAGCCCTACAAATCCAAGGTACACTCCTTTGTTTGCTGAGTTGAAAATTAAGTTGGTTTTGCAGACTGAGATGGCCTCTTCATTAACGCTGGAGAAAGGGAGGTGCCAATGAAGAATCATTCCCCAGTGTCATAAGCAGATGGTGTGATTTCCAAGCATCCCTCTGACACAGCTCTTGTTCAGCAGTACAGCACTGACAAGCCACTGGTTGTCTGGGTTTGCTCCTCGGGTTCTCTTCCTTGTTTCCACCTCTTCCCTGTGCATTTGGCAACTCAGATAGGCTATGTATACCATGGTATTAAATATTTATAATCATTAGCCTAACATGACACTCTCAACATTCTTGCTCAAGCCTTGTTGCTATGAGGACCACTCCCTTTGTAGCTCCCAATTCTTGGGAGATGGTCCTTTTGTATCTTCTTTTCCCCAACTAAGTCTTAAATCCTAAGACTAAGTTTTATCCTAATTTTACAGTATAGCAAAGATAATGAGTGTGTGTCTTTAGCCCATTCTTTTCTTCTTTTGCTTAAGTATTTTTATGTAAATCCTACACTGCTGGCTGTATTGCTTCTTTTCCACAGCTGTTGACATGGCCCTTGGCCACTATTAATGAACAGATTCTTTTTATCTATAGAAAGAGGAAAGAAACACTCTAAAATTTTTGTTATGATGCTTCAAAGTACAAATAATTTTTAAAAAAGCCTTTATTATTTTCTAAGCGTTATGCTGAGTACTTGGTTGAACTGGGGAGGTAAGCATGTAGAGGTAGATAAAATGGTGCCTGAGAAATGGTTCCACCTTTCTCAAGGTGGTAAACACTATGTTGGACACTGATTCAGAGATAGGAAGCCATACAACAGCACACAGGGAGGGTGAGTGGCATGTTGGTTGAGCTGGAAAGGGTGAGCTTGCCACAATGCTTCTTGTCATCTAAACAGAATAAAGCAAACTGATCTATTTGAATGTATGCTGGCAGCACTAAAGCCACTCTTCAAAGAAACAATGACAAGTCAGTTTGTTAAGGTAGAAGTAGAAAATTTTTTAAATAAAATTCTTACTTACCCAAATAAATTACCTTCAAAATGCAAGTTGTGCTTCCTGGGATACTCCAGTGCTATTCCACATATAGTTGAGACAAGGTTTCACTATGGAGTTAGGGCTGTGTTTGAACTCAGCCCTCATGGCCTTCTAATTTTTGTGTTGTAGTTCAATAAAACATGCATTTAAAAAAATAGTTGTGAGACTGGAAGCCAGGGCTCTGTGCACATTAGTTGGTCATTGTGCCACAGGGCTACACCCTCTTCTGATGGCTTTTATATGCCTTGGACGATGGGCCCAACATATTAGCTTTCCTGGATAGTTTCTACTAACACTTCCACTATGGTAGATATCTGGGCTCTTAGTTTGTTTTGCGCTCTTCCCCTGTCAGTCTGGGATCTAATGTAGCTAGTAGTTATTTTAAAAAAGTATCTCTAGGGTACTTGCTGTATTACATTTAGCTAAGCATTATGCTTCTGAGTCCTTAGGACTTTGTTTCCTTTGTAATAGGACAAGGCTGAAGACTCCAATAAATCCAAGAAGAAGTCAAAGGAAAGACACAGCCTATCAGAGGACCCTGAGACTGTTGGCTTCATCTACCCGTACAATGACCTGCTGGTGTGGGCTGTGCTGATGAAGAGGCAGAAGATGGCCATGTTCTTTTGGCAGCATGGCGAGGAGGCCACAGTCAAGGCCGTCATTGCTAGTATTCTCTACAGAGCCATGGCCCGGGAAGCCCAGGAGAGCAACATGGTGGACGATACTTCAGAAGAGTTGAAAAATTACTCGGAGTAGGTCTTCTCTCTTCACTTCACACTAAACAGCAATAGTTTTGAGAATGCAGAAACACACTTTTCTCTCTCATTTTTTTTTATCATAGGATAAATAGACTTACTTAGAATTGTGTGTTTTATTCAAGCATCCCCTGAGGCACAGAAGCAGTAGGCTATAGGCTTTATGGGAGGGTTTGTAAGATAATTGATTTAAGTGATTACAGTAACTGAGAACTCCTGACACAACTCTTTGGAGGCTGGAGACCCAGGGATGCCAGAAACATGGCCAAGTCCATGTCCAGAGGCCCCAGAACAAGGGGATTCTTGTTTAAGGCCTATGAACTCGTAAAGGGTGCTTCTGCTGTGAGCTGTGGAATCTTCAGACTTTGGACCCTGAACTGCTCTTATCAAGGGCTGGTGACAGACATCTCATCTCTCACGAGTCAATTCATTTTCTGTAGTTATCCTTTCCAGGCCCCCTGAAAGACCTGGCAGTACTCGTCAGCTTTGAAAAGGCATCTTCCTCATGCATTACACTTAGTCTTGCATGCCAAGTCCTGGAAACACAGACAGAGACACAGCATCATGCTGATTTCTAGGTACTCCGTAATCCTGTTCACTCGGCAGCCAATGTTAACCATCAAACGGCACCCTTCATGCAGTCTCAGTGAAGGGTTCACAAAGACTTGAAGGAACTCTGTGGTAAATAGGACAAAGGTGATCTTCCAGTGTGGAGACTCATGTATAAATATTTTTTTGGATTGTGCAGGTCAGCTGACTAACTTTTAGCCTTTCGTTTCTTAAGGACTGTTAATGATTTTGAAATTAATGACACCGAAGGCTCTTTGGCCTCCCAAAGTGCTCAATGTTGTTGAGATTGCTGTTTACTGTAGGTGTTTTTCAGGTTGCGGCATCAAATACACACATTGTAGTATGGAACCAGAAAGTGATTGGTGGGAATGAAAAGAGTAGAGATGCTTCCACTAATCTGATTATTAAAGTGTTATAGACCTGCAAACGGGAGAAGCTCAGTGAATGACAGAGGCTAACCTATAGCTTGGTTTACAGACCTAGCACAGTTTCCAGAGAAGACAGCCTCTTGGGAAATTTCCTGAGGGCTTCTAAGGATTTTTATAAAATTAATAATAATAATAATAATAATAATAATAATAATAATAATAATAATGTAATAACAAACATGTTTCCACAAAGTTTCTTGGACACAGTGTTTTTTTTTTTTTTTTTGTCAGAATTTCTCTATTAGGTCTTTTCATGTAGACCTGCCCACACCAGGCTGAATATAGCACAGCACACAGCACAAGATAGCTTCTGACACAAACAATAAATTCTACTCTGGGCTACCAGGAAAATACAGCAAAGTTGTCTTCCTTCTGTAAGGGGAGACAGATCCATTTTGTAGCAGCCACCTTAGCTTGTGATGGCAGAGATTAAGCTGTTGTTTACCCCACAGCTTAATTCTGTTTTATCACACAGCCAATTACCTGGTGTTTTCCGTGGCCCATAGTCAATTTTTAGGGCTCTGACTGGCCTTTTGTGCTCTCTGTTCACCACCGTGTCATCAGGCAGTTTGGCCAGCTTGCCCTGGATGTATTGGAGAAGGCCTTCAAGCAGAACGAGCCGATGGCCATGAAGCTGTTGACCTATGAACTCAAGAACTGGAGCAATTCCACCTGCTTGAAACTGGCGGTGTCTGGGGGACTGCGGCCCTTTGTGTCACATTCTTGTACCCAAATGCTACTGACAGACATGTGGATGGGACGTCTGAAGATGAGGAAAAACTCCTGGCTGAAGGTATGTCATATTGTCAGCGTGTTGTGGAGGTCGCTGTTTTTCAGTGCCACATGGGTACCTCTGGCAAACAATAGCTTCCTGCAGGTGCACAGTTGATCCTTCAGAAATCTCTGGAAACTGCTTTGCCTGAGTGACTTCTCAAAACTGGAGGACTGTACCTGCCCTGCCACCACAGAGCTGTTCTCATGTGAGGGCGCTCAGAGTTAAAAGCAAATACAAGCAACACTTCACAGTGCCAAATGACAGTGCCCCTGAGAATTCCCAAAGAAATGAGGCTTTAAGAATACCCACGGCGGTTAGGTGCATAGCTCACTTGCAGAATGCCTGAACAACAAGCACAAAGACTTAGGTTTGGTCATCAGCATCACAAAATTATATATATATATATATATATTAATAGGTAAGAAACTAAATAGAACTAGCAATTTTTATTGCTTTCCTCATCTAGTGCGTTGCTTCAGGGATTCCACAGCTGATTTATCAGCTTTTCCTCTAGCAACTGTTCACACCATTCATCATGTCTAAGTTCTCAGCCTCTTCAGTTATATAATCAAGAGCACCTTAGTCCAATGCATAAGGTTTATAACATTTACCATGGAGCCTGTAAAGTGTAAAGCTGTCCATGTGGTCAACCTCAAAGTGCATGTGTCTGTGAAACGCAATAGAAGGGGATGAAGCCTGAATGTTAAGATCTCATAAGACTGTACTTTGCATTTTAATTGTGTTCTTCCCACAATTCTTGAAACCATATATATATATATGTTAAACAGAATGGCTATTACAAAAATATGAATTTTTTGGTAGATTTACTAACTCCACAAAATAAATATTGCATAAGAAAGAAAAAGATATGTGTATTTTAATTTCTGTCAAGGAGATCAGAGAAATATGAAAAATGCTAATCAAAAATGGTCTCGTATAGCTTCACAAAATACCAGAGGAAAAGCCATCATTTCCCAAAGTTCTTCTCCTTTGATCCCCTTTGACTTCAGGTCTGGCAGTGACAAAACAGAGGTGGGATGGGTCTGCCTCCACTTACCCAGATCCGGAAGTAGATGCTTGCAAATTCTTACATACACACACACACACACACACACACACACACACACACACACACACACAGAGAGAGAGAGAGAGAGAGAGAGAGAGAGAGAGAAGATTGAAAGGTAGGTTTCCATGTTTTTCTCCAAGCATGTGTTGACTACTAGGCTAAGGCAGCATATGCTGTATGAAGTCCCCACACTCCACTTATCAATATTCCCAGGTGCCAACAGTCCAGCTGTGCACGCTGGCCTATGAGTTTCTGAAGCAGATTTGCAAATAAGTTTGGGATGTCCTTGTCAGAACAGTCCCGAGTAGATGAGATTGTAAGAGCACCATGGAGAGCCACAGGGATGGGAAAACTGATTCAGTATGACAGGCTCCAACCTCTCCTCAGAAGTAGGTTATGTACAGCCTGGCTGTGGTGGGTTAATGCTTCTCCAGTGCAGTGGGATTAGAGGTCTTCCCGGAAGTAGAACTAACATGATGCTGTCACTGTGCGTCTGACTGGCGTTTTTTTACACTTGGAGGAGTAACATATTTGGGTCAGAAAACACAATTGCTGTAGAACTAAAGCCTAGAGAGTCTTGATAGATCATATCTTAAAACAAAATTTAGAAGGTCATTTCAGCATGGGAAAAACAAAAGCAAGTTTGGCATGCCTTTGACTTCAGTTTATGAAATCATGGGGGTGGGCTGGCAGATTAATCTAACTTTTGGTCAGTGAATTCCAAGATGCTGAGACATGACTTTAGTGAAAAGGAGGCAGAACACCCACCAGGCTGTCTTTCACAATTGTAGTAATACTTAAAACTGTTTATCTTGAAAGGATGTAAAAACTGAACATAAAAAAATTCTTTGCAAAAGATGGTTAATGTGCAAAGCGTGGTGGCCTAGTGAAAAATACTTGAGCCATCCTTCTCTTAGGTCTTCCTGGCAGACAACAGGTTTATACAAGAGAGGAGGGGAATCTTTTCTAGGGTAAGGTTTATGATATAAATTTTAATGTTTTATATGCTAATACTGTTTAATGATTTTAAATTATTAAAATAATGTTGTCATCACAAAATAATGTTCGTACCTGCCTACTCAGGTACTGTTTTTCCCAGGGGAAACAAGTGTGATATACGCAACTTCTAAACTTTTAAGTAGAGCCTGGACAGATTGTACAGCAGTTAAGAGCACTCCCAGCCATCCCTGAAGATCCCTTGATTCCTGGCACTGATATGGGTGTACATGGCAGTCTGTCAGGCCAGTTCCAAGGGATATGACACCCTTTTCTGGCCTCTGTGAGCACTGCATGTACTGAAAGACATACAGTGTACAGACAAACACACAGGCAAACACCTGTACAACATAAAAAAATAAAAATAAAAGCAAACTTTTAGGTATGTGTATTTAAAATTTTTAATTTTTTTTCTTTCTAACATCATATTGAATGTGTTATCTGATTTTAAAATAGATTTGTTTTTATTTGTGTATATACGAGTGTTTGCATGCATGTATGTTTTTGTACTACATGCACGCCTGGTGCCAACAGAGGCCAGAAGAAGGCATCAGGTCTTGAACTGGAGTTATAGTCTATTGTAAGCTGCCATGAAGGTGCTGGGAACTGAACCCAGGTCCTGTGCAAGAGCAGCCAGTGCTTTGAATCACTGAGATGGCTCCCTGGCCCTTTCATTTGCCTCGTCAATGTTAACATGGCAATTGCATTGTTAGGTTGTTTAATATTTTCTGTCCCCGTATGGCTGGACATTTAGATTGTTACTAGGTTTTTGCCTTTGCAGACAACTGTGCATGAACATCTCTCAGTCCACCTTTGCCCAGAGCTGAGGAACACATGAGTAGAACTGAAAGAGTTGAACTATAATATATGTAGACTCAGGGTAGGAATTGAGCTGGGAGTGGGTCTATCTACTACACATATTTATTTCTGTTGCTAAGGTAGCACATGTATCCTTTGTCCTCTGCTCATCCTTTATCTTGCTTCCTTTGCAGATAATCATCAGTATCCTTTTACCACCCATGATTTTGACATTGGAATTTAAAAGCAAAGCAGAGATGTCACATGTCCCACAATCCCAGGATTTCCAGTTTACGTGGAATTACAGCGACCAGAGCCTGAATAGCACCAAAGAGAGTGTGGTTAGTACACTACCATAGTATTTTGAGTTTTCATGGTGTGACTGTGCACAGAGATGCACAAACATGGAGCTTATCTAGAATAGCCATCTGTTAAATGAAATGTCTACCTTTTTAATATTAACAGGGCATTTATTAACACCTCCCTTCACCCCCGGAACACACCTACGTCTGTGTGTGTGTTACTGTCTCGCTATGTTTCCCAGAATGGCTTTAAATTTCTGGCTACTGTTTCAGTCCAGTGAAGTAACAGATTACCCCAAGGTTACACATTATTCTAGAAGCCCAGGGCTGATCCACTAATCAAGCATTTAGTTCTCTCTGTGTAATCTCCCTCTTGGTATAGACTAGTCAGGTAGAGCATGGAAGTAAGGTATTTCCTTTCTGCTTCAGAAACAAAGTCATAGTGTCCAACAGGTGTTTCAGCATTGCTCCGGAGTGGTAGACTGGATCGGATTACGGCTTTCCGCCTCCATCAACACTGCTGCAGAACATTAGCCCTGAGGTTCTCATCTATAGACACACACATTTGGCATTTGTGCTGATGGGTGGCTCAGTGCGTGATGGTACATGCTGCCAAGGTTGGCAACCTGACTTCAGTCTCAGACCCCACATAGAGGAGGGAGAGAACTGGCCCAAACAGGTTGTCATCTGATCTCCACACACATGCTGTGACACATGTGTGCACCCCAAACAAATGTAACAAAAAATTTTTGTTGATCCTCCTTGCTGTGCACAGCACGCCTCATCCATCACGTTCAGTGGCTGTGGCCAGTTTTGTTTGTTCTGGATGTGTGCTCTCCCCTGGGCTGAGGGCCACTTTCCAGCAGCTGACTGTCAGAGCCAGGTGTCCAGGATGCTGTGGCTGTTCTCTCTGCTTTCTGTTCCCGCTCTGCCCATGATTCATAAAGCTGCACTTTGCCTCAAGGTGTGGTAAACATCGTCTGTGCTACTGACACCGAATGAAGTGCCTTTAACATCTTGTCTGATATGCTTTGTCATGTATGTTGTATTTATTTAAATGTTTATCTAAGTGCTAGTCACCAAATAATAAATGAAGACTGACTGTGATTAATGTCTTGTGGATGATGGTTGTTGGTGACTGATTGAGCATCTGTGCATTCTGATGCCCTGGAGGTCTGACTCTCCTGAGTCATTAAGGACTATGGTTATTGCTCCTGTTTAGGTGTTTGTGTGTGTGTGTGTGTGTGTGTGTCCCCCTCTCTCCCTCGCTCTCTCTTATTTAGTTTCATCTTGAAACCTTGGGCCTAGGAAATCAAAACATTCTACTGGCTGTAGAAAGCATAAGGACTCTCTTAAAAGCCTCGGCTAGGCATGTGATTACATTTGAATCAGTCTCAGGTCCAAACCCATCAAAGAGAGGAAATGCAGTTATACCCCTACCCCTAGAGATACTTCAAGGCCTGGTGTAGAGGTACCCTGCTTAGATATGTGCCCGTTTGATGGTACATGCCAAGTTTTGTGTGCTGGTTGAAGTTGAACAAGGAAGAAAGCTCTTTATCACCATATACTTAAAATGTAGATACAAATGTAGGCAGGGTATAGGCAGTAGCTTGCCAGTGGATACGATTCCACTTTTGGCTCTTGCAGAATGAGTAGAATCTCGGTAGAACGATGGACTCTTCAACAGAGAAGTTACTGAGGAGAACTGGTGCACTGTTCCTCTCAGCACTGTTTTCAAAGGAGACCCAGAGTTCTTTCGCAGAATGGTAGTTACATGTGTGTGTGCTCTTAACATCAAAAAAAAAGTAAGCTCTTGAACCCCCCCCCCCCCGACTAGTGTACTTGTTCCCCCAGGTAGTTTTTAGATGCAGTCATATCCATTGATTAATGATATGAATATTTAAACTAAGGCAGATGTGGCCTCTGCTCTGATGGGCTTATTATCAGGAAACCGTTCATGAACCCTTAGCATTCTTCAATTGGAAACACTTAGTGGAAGAGTTGTTCAAGTACATTCTATTAAGAGTGGCTTGTGATCACAAAGATGGATTTTTTTTTTTTTACCCTTTCGATATATCTGAAACAAAAATTATTGACTATACCTGTCTAGCCATTCCCACTCTGCCCACACTTAGTATTAATTTTGCCTAGCAGACTTGGTCAGATATATAAGCTTTCGTCATGCTAATTAGGTAAATGTGATTGATTCACTGAGGAGCACGGTCTACAATGTGAATTGTTGGGAGAGAGCTGGAGGCAGCAATCGAAACAGATGTGGTTTGTGTGTCTTTGTGGCAGTCAGTTTGCAGTAGCAAAGGGCCTTCTTGTTCCCATGGGGAACAGAAGCTCTATTACCAGATATTGCATGTGCTCTGTGAGGTTTTATTAACCACTCCCTCTTGTGTGTGTGCATGTGTATGTGTGTGTGTTGTGTTGTGCTGTCTTGCTATATTTCCTTACAATGGACTCACATTTCTGGACTCAAGTGGTCCTTCCACCTCAGCTTTCTGAGTAGCTGGAACTGCATGGATACACTTCCATGCTAAGCCAAAACTCTTTTTGGAAGTTCCCAAAATAATTTTTTAAGAGAAATGGAAATCGTTCAATGGCTAGTCTCTTGAAGCATGACCTCTGTGACCTAAACTATCCCAGGAAGAAGATAATAAGAGTGGAAAATCCAGGGAGGAAGAGGAATGGCTCTTCTCATTAGGGCCAGCGGGTGAGGGTGAGGGACAGGTGACAGCTTCCTGAAACTGTAGATAGGGCACAGAGGCAGGACGTAGTGAGACAGAGGGTAAGCAAGGCAGTGGGGCAGTTTAGCTGGACTCGTTCGTGGTTATGGAGGGTCCTGGGCGAGCAGGGGATGTTTACAGGCCTGGCTGGAAACATGGAGGGTTGTGAGACTCTCGTGTGTCTGCGAGAAAACATCATTTTCTTTGACTTACTTGAGAACCAGTGAACATCTACGACCAGTATAGTGAGACCAGCTACTGGTAGGCCAGTCACTGCCTTAATTGCATAGGATCGGTTCATAAGAAGACAGGCTAGAATCAAGGAGGACATAGATCAAGCAAGGCCAGAAGGGATAAGGGTGTCAGCCAGGATCAGTAGCAAAAGATGCAGAAAGGAAAAGAGGGATTTTAAATGAATCGTCAGTTGATCAGGCATGAGAGAGACAGCAAGAATGTCGAGAATTAATGGTTTGCAGCAAGGTCAGCTGCATTTCTTATACAACCCAGGCCCACGTACCCAGGGAAGGCACTGCCCACAGTGGGCTGCGGCTGCCCAAATAGATCGGCAATCAAGAAAGTATCCCACACACTTTCCCACAGGCAATTCTTTACTTGAGGGTCCCTTTCCTCAGGTGTGTCAAGTTGGTAAGGAAGATTATCAGTCTCAACAAGATATAGTTATGGCGGACTGTGGTGACGCATGGCTGTAATCACAGGCAGATCGCTGTGAGTTCCAGGCCAGCTAGGAATATATAGTGAGACCCTGTCTCAAAAAATGGGGGGGGGGGGGCGGTTATAGCTATTGCTGTTTGTTATTCTTGTTGGTGGTAGAGGAGCTGGGAATTGAATCCAGGATCTTATACAAATAACATGAATTCTACCGTCTACTCTACAACATTGTTGCTTACTTTTCAGAAAGACTATGACTTGGAAAGAGGCCCTGATGAGAAGCCGGATGAAAATCTGCACTTAGACTTAAGAAAAGAGCCCCAGAGCCTCCCCTGGACGAGGAGAACCTGTGAATTCTACAGCGCTCCCTTTGTCAAGTTTTGGTTTTACACGGTTGGTGTCATCACAATAGTGGTAATGATAACCAGTAGTTCGCGATAACGTTACTAATGGTATGTCTCATTTGCTAGCCTGAGATGAAAAGTTTCATAAAGTTTTAGGGGTTTCATTGAAGAAAACAAACAAAAAAGGGGTGGGTGACAAAGTAGGAGGGTGGGAATGTTGGGGAAACAAAGGAAGTGTGAATATGGGGGAGACCACCTGCATTTTACTTCCTGAATGAGCACCCCTCTTTTCATACCTCCTCTGCCCTCCTGGTTCTTTTCCTAGTCTTGGTTTTCATTTGGCATAGACTTTCACTGTATGCCCTTCCCAGCCTGGAACTCACTAGGTAGGTGTAGATTAGGCTGGCCTGGAACTTGCAGTAATGTTCCTGTCGCTACCTCCTGAATGCTGGAAGAAGAGGTGTGAGACCATTCTCTGGTTGTGTTTTTCTCTCGGAGTGCCTAGACACAGCTCAGCCAAGACTGAGCCTTTGGGACGTTTTAGTACAATGAATTTAACAGTCCTCAGTGTAGAACTGAATGATGGCTTTTTTAAAAAAACTTTTTTCAGGCAAAATAAATAAGTAACAGATAAAAATCATCAGTTGACTCATTTGTTTTGTAGAAATATTGTCTTTTTTTTTTTTTTTTTTTTTTGTCTTCAGTAGCATATTCTCTGAATGTAAGAGGACTACTTAAAGTTGAGATGCAATGGAGAGCGGCCATTCAGAAAAAGCATACACGTATCAGCCATTTATTTAGTATCACTTATTTTTATGCTTATCTAGACTTAGATTACTCACACCCAGAGTTTTGTATTCCAAAAACATTTGAGGAGTGAATATTATGGGATGTCCATCTAAATATGCATAATATATAATCTCAGAATATCGACCTGGCAGCCACATGCTATTGGCACGTACTTAATAAATACATATCTCTGAATGACAGTTATCTGTTTCTAAACATCTAAGTCTGGGCCTGGGGAGATGGCTCAGTGGCTTAGAGTGCAGCCTGAGGGCCCAGGTTCAGGTCCCCAGCACCCATCTGAAAAGCTAGGCATGGTGCAACATGGCTGTGATTCCAGCACTTGGGAGGTAGAAACAGACAGATCCCTTCAGCTCACTGGCCAGTCAGTCCAGCTCTATTAGTGAGCTCCAGGTCCAATGGACATCCATGACTCAAATTAAAGCAGAGATGGGTCAACAAGATGGCACCTGAGCAAGAACACTTGATGCTGCTAAACTTGACAACCTGAATTTGGCCTCAGAACCTACAAGGTGTGTTGTTGATGATAAAATTGGTGTTGGGCTAAATATTGTTTATTATTTACCCTAAGATTATCAAGATGGTATTATTTAACCTGCTATCACAAATGATAAGACACAGACACCTGCTAGATTTTATATAATTGCCTTATTTACCTTGGGCTGGGCAGATATTTCATCTATGCTGTCACAATAACCTCACCATCCACCTCACAGCCCCAGTGCAATGCCATCTGGCTTAAGCATCATCATTTGGGCTACCTTCCATCCATAATCTTATAATAATTGCTTGTATTCTTCATCCGGCCCTTTCCACACCATTTTTGGAGTCCTTCCTCCCTGCCCATATGATTCCTTCTCCATGCTAACCCATTGTGGCATCCTCCTTCTTCTTCTCTTCTTGTCTTTCTGTTTCCCATGATTCTCCTGTTCCTAAAGCCCAGAACCTTAGCCACGCCTACCCCGTTCTGCCCTCCCAGGTTTTAGGCCTTTTAATCAATCAAATAGGAATAATGTCTTAGGCAAGTTTACACAACAAGGATAGGTGTATCCGGGAAGTAACCAGATCTTGAGGGCCAGTAACTCGCATAGAACTACAAGCATCAGACCAATCCCAACAAAGATGGAAGGAGAGGACTGACTCCCACAAGCTGTCCTGACTTCCACACTTAACACTGCCTGATAGCCGGTAGACTATGTTAGCTACTGTATGCTATGCCTAGGTTGCTAATCTTTTCATGTGCCCATGTTCATATTCATACAGGTATGTGTGTCCAGTTGTGTATGCATGTATGTGAAGATCATAGGTCGGCATCAGGTGCCATTCTTGATGGCTTTTCACCTTCACAAAAACATTTATTTATCTATTTATTTGTTGTGTGTATGTATGCCTGTGCAGGGACCCCTAAAATCCAGAAGGCAATTCCAGATACCCTGGATCTTGAGTTACAGGCAGTTGTGAGCTGGCCAACATGGGTGCCGGGGATCAAATTCAGTCCCTCAGGCAAGAACGACATGTGCTCTTAACTGCTGAGCCATCTCTCCATCTCCCTATCCAGAATAGCATTTTAATCATTATAAAATAATACTCCGTAGTAGTTACTGTCATCTTACTGTAAAGACAGGCATCCAGTAACACTTCATCTTGGCATACATATTTTTCTAGCTGAAACTGGAGGGAAGGCATGAGATCCTTTCTTGGTCTGCTGCTAGCTCGCCATTGTGCAAGCTGCAATGGTTAGTGACAATAGGCTAACATCTCCTTCTTGGACCAGCAACTAATGATTTTCATTCCTAGACTGTAGATACTTATGCCTTCCTTGACATTAAGTAATGAGCTTTCAGAAATAGTCCCCAGTTATATTTTCATGTTGCCCTGTAGAAGTTCATGTCTGTGTGTCTGAGCTCTGTCTGCCTCTGCTTGGCATCCTTCATGGTCACTTGCACTCACAGGGAATGTGTGTCCCTCACAGATGGCTTATTTGGCATTCCTCATGCTGTTCACTTACACAGTGTTGGTGGAGATGCACCCCCAACCCAGCATACAAGAGTGGCTTGTCATCATTTATATCTTCACCAATGCCATTGAGAAGGTCAGGGAGGTGAGTGCTCCTTCTAACTGTGTCTCTGTACAACCCTGGAAGAGGTGTTCTTGGCTCTGGGGATGAAAATGGGCTCATGTCAAGTTTGTGAAGGAGAGAGCATACTGATTCTGATTTGCTACAGGAATGTTGCTCAGGGACAAACATATCTGACTTCATTCCTTATCCTTACCAAATACTTTGCAGTGAACTTTGAAAGCAGCCATTTTGAAGCACAATCTTTGTGTATTTATTACTTGGGCAGCAACAGGCAATGCCCTCTATTTGTGACTGAACTCTCCCAACTCTTCGCTTCCCACAATGTAGCTTTCTTTGTGGTATGGATTTTTAATCACCTAGCCTTACCTACATATTGTCAGTTTTACCCTAAAGGGTGACACATGAATGGCTAAAGTTGCATAATACATAAGGCGTACATTCTCAGCATGTGCAAGTTCCTCGTAAACACCCTTGAAAACTGGAGCTGAATATCTTTTATTGGGAGATGTAGTCCAAGAAACAAAACTAAACATTTTTCATTTCTGCCTTGTCACTGGTCACTTAAAAGTTACCATTCTTAATGCGGTTGTGTGGATAATCCCCCAAAGCTATGACGCCTGCTGTCCTAGCTGTGTGTGCACGTCTCTGTAGGTCGATACATTTGTCTTGTTCCGGTGGTAATTTCACCAACATTCTATGCTGAATAAGAGTCTTCTCAGAGATTACGCTGCATCGTCATCTGCTATTGGAGTTTATAGAAGAGAAGCACTATCTGAATTCTCCTGTGTCTGGGGGAGAAATAACCTTACTGTTTGCATTGCAATGTGTTTGCTATTGTATTGCCAAGAGCGTTTCTTATACTAGCGAGTTCCAACATCACATTCTTCTTGGTTTACCAGTAGCTTCTCAGAAGCAGTTGTAGGGCCAGATCACAGGCCTGCTTGGTTTCTAGTCGGTATTCTTTAACCTCAGCTCACAAAGCGGAAGCCTAGCATGGCAGAAACACTGCAGTGCTGAATTCTGAAGGCCCTGGCCTTGCTGCATACTCACTGGAGATCCATGAATGCCAGAACAAAATTCTTTCTTTTTGTCATTTCTTGTTTGTTTCTTGAGTGGTGGCTTGGGTTAGCGGTACTCATTCTAGATATTAAGGTTAATTTCTCGTTAATCTTAGTTAACAGTCATTAAATACATATTTATAGTTTTGTTTAAATAACTCATTAGCAAGTGTTATCTGAGTCTCAGGTCCTCTTGGTATGCAAAATTTGAAGGAATTGGCTTACTATTTAAACGGCACATTAATGCACTTAAAAAGATGCTTATCTTGATGCATCCAGCCCTGGCTGTGGTTTTGGGCACTGAACCCAGGGCCGTGTATGTTGGTGGCAAGTGTTCCACAACTCTACTTCATCCCCCCTCCCCTGTACCCTTCCTTAAATCTCCCTCTCTCTCTCTCTTTAGATCTGCATTTCAGAACCCAGCAAGTTTACTCAAAAGGTGAAGGTGTGGCTGAGTGAGTACTGGAATCTAATGGAGACAGTGGCTATTGGCCTGTTTTTAGTTGGTTTTGGCCTACGGTGGGGACACCCACCTCTGTTCACTGTAGGAAGACTCTTCTACTGCATAGACATCATATTCTGGTTCTCTCGGCTCATGGACTTCTTCGCTGTGAATCAACACGCGGGGCCGTACGTGACCATGGTTGCAAAGATGGTGTGTACGGTCTCATTTTATGCATAAATATCCCCTTTTAGTGCCCCGCTGTCATGTTTCATATTTTGACTTTCTCTCCTGTGACATATGGATGGGTACATGCTTCTGGGCGCCCTCGTGTCTGCCTGTGTAGAGGGCAGAAATCAACATTGGGTGTCTTCCACTGCTGCTCTTGTCTTAGTTATTTTTTTGAGTGCTTTGAAGAGCCACCATGACCAAGGCAACCTAGAAAAGTAAGAATTTAACTTGGGGGCTGTAGTTCTTGATGCTCTGCAACCATCTTGGTGGGAAGCATGGCAGCAGGCAGGCGGGCGTTGTGCCGGAGCAGTGGCTCGGAGCTTACAACTGATCCATAAGCACCTGGCAGACGGAGTCCTAACCGTGAATGGTGTGGGCTTTTGAAACATCAAAGCCCACCCCACAGTGATACACTTCCTCCAGCAAAGCCACACTGCTTAATCCTTCCAAAACAGTTCTACCAACTGCGGGCCAGCATTCAAATACATGAGCCTATGAGGCTATTCTCATTCAAACCACCCTACAGCTCTCTACCTCATGTTTTGGAACAGAGGCCCCTTATTAGACTTGAAGCGCAGTTTTATCTAGACTAGCTGGCTTGTGAGCTCTCAGGGCCGCTTGTCTCCCCATACCGTGTCTGCTTTTTACATGCCTTCTGGGAATCTAATCTGAGGTCCAGGAACCATGCTAACACGGAACCATCTCCCTAAGCCACCAGTTAAAATCTGAAATTGTTTCTAGAAGCATAGACACTCATTTCTGGCTAACCATTAAGCTTGTATGTAAAATGGGCCAGGGTAGTTAATAGGTTAACCTTTTGTGAGGGCTGGCCATATGGGATTGAGGTTGCATTGTTTTTTTTATTTCTATGAGGCTACCACCAAGAACGTATTTTCTGAAAGCACCAGTTCATTCTTTTATCACTCACACTTACTCTTAAGTAGCACTGACTATGCACCTCACGCTGTACTAGATATTTCGCATATATTAACTTATACACTGTTTGTAGCAACTTTAAATTACTCAGGAGCATATGGGGGGGGGATCCAGGCCTCCACAGTGGATGGCCTGGCTCCAGTCTGTCGCCTGGGCCTGCTAAACATTGCGCCAGCTTTTGCCTCTGGAATTTTGAAAGTACCTAAAGGTCTACCCTCTAGAAATAATCTAGATAATCTTGATGTTCATTTCTAGAAAACAAGAAAAGTTAGTGTTCTGGAGGGACAGGAGTAGTGCAGAAATAAAGACAGAGGAAGAAGGACCCAAGAGTCTCAAGATGGACCTTGCTGCTTCTGCTTCCGTTCCTTTCTATCATCTCTCTCCTTCCGGCAGGACTGGGGTTTGAACCTACAGCCTTACGCATTAGGGGCAAACACCACTGCTGAGCCCCCGCCCAGCGCTTAGGTTTTCTCTTTTCTTACCTCTTTTCTTTTAGATTTTGGTAATGTCTCTTTGTTAGAGGAGGAGGTGGATAATCAGTATATTTCACGGCCTGGCACAGGGTCCTTTCCCCCCCGAAGCCAGGTTTGATGGGGTCTGTAAGTGCTGACTCCGAGATGCAGACTTCCTCCTTTGTGTGTCATAGCCATGCACTTAGCTTCTATTACAGTGACCAGAGTAAGAGCTAAAGTTCAGCTCAGGCAAAGTCATTGTTGTCACTCTTCAGCCCATTGGATACTTGGATCTTACGGTCACCACTTCATAACATAAGAAATGTGGCGAAAGTAGAAAATGTTGGTGACCTCTGAGCCTGCCACAGTGAACAAGGGGGTCGAGTTGATGTAGTTTCGAAGATGGAGGGAAACTGGCGTAATCAGTACCCAAGACATTCCATGGTTCTGGGAGATAACTCTGGGAAATGCAATCTTTGATTTAATTGGTCAAAAGTTGGGCACTTGCCAGTCAAAAGCAGTTAACATTTGATTGCTGCTTACAGAAAGAGTCTTTGTTTCTACTTTCTGCAAGTCCCTCCATAGATGTCACTGACCTAAAGCGCATACTATGTAGAATGGCAGTTCTCAACCCATGGATTGCAACCCACAACAGGGGTCACATATCAGATATCCTGCACATCAGGCACTTACATTACGATTCATAACAGTAGCAAAATTACAGTTGTAAAGTAGCGACAAAATAATTTCATGGTTAGGGGTCACCACAACATAAGGAATTGTATCAAAGGGTTCATGATGGTAGGAGGGTTGAGAAGCACTGGTGTGGAGAAAAGAAAATAGCATAGCCAGAGAGAATGCAGCTGTTCTGCTCTGAGCCATTTTAGCCACTGACCAGAGTAGCTAGCTAGCCCCGCGTGTGGTGATGGTGATGACTGCTGGAGCCAGATTTATGGTAAATTCTGGTTGTGCTGTGCTGTTTTGCAGGCAGCAAACATGTTCTACATTGTGGTCATGATGGCCATCGTCCTGCTGAGCTTTGGCGTGGCGCGCAAAGCCATCCTCTCACCAAAGGAGCCTCCTTCCTGGCACCTGGCTCGCGATATTGTATTTGAGCCCTATTGGATGATGTATGGAGAAGTCTATGCTTCAAAGATAGATGGTACGGAGGGAGTTTTGCCTTTATGCAGAGACAGAAGCCCTGTAGATACCCAGAGTAAAAACAAATCTGAAAGGCACCTGCAAGAATGCTTTAAGTGTGGAAAGTTTGTAGCATTCTGTGAAGTTAAGGGGGCCAAATATTTGCACAGGGCCCCCGGGCTGTGATTTAGCTTCATCTCACTCTTAAATTCTCCCTCTGTAGTTTGTTCAAGTGAAACTTCATGCCCGCCGGGTTCCTTCCTGACTCCATTCCTGCAAGCTGTCTACCTCTTTGTGCAGTACATCATCATGGTGAACCTGTTGATCGCCTGCTTCAAGTGAGTAACTGTAACCAAATGTGGTTATTTTATTTACCAAAACGTGGGAGCCACTATCCTGAGTATATCCCCATGCATGTTGAGTATGTGTGCCCCATGTTTTACTACTGTGGCTTTAAAGCAAGGAGGTGAAACTATTGGTATGAAAGAAGCTGAACTCTTAGTGATATAGAAGCGTGAGAGGAGATCTGAGCCCATCCTATGCACTTAGGCTCCTGCAGAACAAGGCTTGGAGTTGATGGTCTGCTAAGGGTTCTGTGTGTGCTTTTCCCACAAGCCCCCTGCCTGTCCCATTTTCTTTTCTCTCGCAGTTAGCTTCTTCTTCTCCCTCTCCCTTTCTGGCTCAACTTCTCCATTTCACACTAAAAATGTCTTGGGCCAAGACCTCTGACCTTTTCCTTTATCTGTACTTTTTCATGCTCTTGTTCTTATTCTGTCTGGGAAATCCTATTTCAGTGGCTTGCATCACTGACTTCCAGGCTTATGATCCCTTGATCCTCCCAGTGACAAACTCTTGAACCCCCCTCTTTCCCAAAATATTCCATTTCCAGTTTTCCCTAAATCCATAGGGAAGAGCAGGAGCTTTTCTGGAAAGTCTCCCTCCCTTTCCTTCCTTCTCTTCCCCTCTCCTTTTCTCTACTCTCTTCTTCTCCACTCTCCCCTTTTCCACTCTGCTCTGCTCTCCTTTTTTCACCTCTCCTCTCCTTACTTCTCTCCTCTCTATTCGTTCTTCTCCTTCCCCTGCCCCCTTTTCTTCCTTCCTTTCCCCATACTCCCCCCAGTCTCAATATAAAGACCAACATTTTGAGGAACAAACAAGCATGGCAATCGCAGCTCTGATTACTTATATCTAGGGGGCCCTTGAAGATAAAGTTTTTTCACATTTAAGGCTCTGAAATACTTGTGAATGCCACCACCTGCTGGTGGGCAGGTGAAGTCACCTGTGAACTGAAGACAGGCAATTGAGACTAACCTTTGAGAGCTTGCAACACGGTTTCCCATTTGATGGTGTTGCGACAGAGTCCAAGGGTGTGCCCAGGCGATGCTGGGATAGAGCCCGGTAGTGTCCATGTCCCTATGGGCTCAGCTCATGTTGACACTGTGAGCTCAGGGATCACATCCTGAGAAACGGGCTGTCAGTCATCCACTTCACATGCCCTGGGACACACCCCTCTCAGTCTTACTCTGACCTGGTTCTTTCAAGGACAGCCATGGCTCCTTCTCCCTATCGCTGTCCAGGTTTCGTCTGTCAATGTTTTTGTTGGCTAAATTTGTCTCAAATTCTACTCTTACTCTGCCATTTTTTTTTCCTCTGAAGAAACTTACTTAAAAAAAAAAAAAACAAAAAAAACAAAAAACATCTAAGCAGAATGTTGCCATGGGTATTCCATTGGACCCACTATGTATTGCATGTTAAATATATAAACAGTTTAGGGCAGTATGTTGTTTTGAAGAACTCTGCCACCTGCTTACATTTCCACTTGGAGTTCTTTAGTGTCAGTGTTTATTGGCTTCCTTTAAGATGGATGTAATTTAAGAGACAATCCAGAGTAAGCACCAATAGGGGCTACTTTGCTATAAAGGTAGCTTGAATAATTTATCAAGTTCCCTTTGGAAACTCTGCGTATTGGCTTATTTAAGGAGGAATCGATTCTCCTCGCGTATGTCTTCCTTATTCGTATGATTCTGTCGAGACCTTTTGGCTAGAGTTATTCGGGCAGTTCTTGCTTTTGTGAAGTCTGTCTTTCTAAGTTCAATAGCGCAGAGGAACATCACACTTGTTCACGAGGAAGGTTGGGTTATATTCTGAAAAAGATGCTTCATATATGAGCAGCAAAGGCGACCTATAGACAGCAGAAAATGCAACAGGAACTTTCTGTTCCTTGCCTACAATGCTGCCAGTTTTCTAATCTCTTGATTTCAATGTCTGCATTTTGTTCATTGTGCCAACAAATATATATATATATATATATATATATATATATATATATATATATATATATATATATTAGTAAAAAGTCTTTACTGTATTTTATTTGAGGAAAGAAAAATTTTTAAGTGGATAATAATTATTGGCTGTCTGCTGCTGATTATCTGTTAACTAATCAGAAAGGTTGGAAGAGAGAGTCTGTTACATTTCAGGGTCCCATATTAAAGCGTCGTCCCCCTCTTTCTTCAACCTCCAGCAACATTTACTTAGATATGAAATCCATCTCACATAAGCTCTGGAAATACAACCGCTATCGCTACATCATGACCTATCACCAGAAGCCCTGGCTGCCGCCGCCCTTCATCCTGGTGAATCACATGTGCCTGCTCCTCCGAGGGCTGCGCTGCCGACCAGCTCCGCATGACCAGGAAGAGGGTGATGTCCATAAGACACTAAGTAAGTGTCTATGGTGGAACAGAAGGAAGGGAGGAAACGAGGGGCAGAGACGCTGGGACTGAGGAGGGAAGGGAATAAAGGGTGGAGACAGCGCAGGCGGGTAACTACATTGTGGGCACAGCGTGAAGGTCCTGAGAAAGCACTGGCTGCAGACCTTTGACCTTGCCTGGGGTCTCATGATTATTTTTGCCTCTGTTAAAGTTAGAGGCAGGAGAGACAGCATCTTTGCTTGGATGTGTAAAGGCTTTAGACCTTCTAGAAAACCTGGGTTCCTAGGTGGTTCCTAGGAACTCCTCTGAAGACGTCTTAGAGAGTAGTCACCTGGCCTGTACGTACTGCCCTGTTGTATAGAAAGGTGATTCAAAAGGGCTGGGATGCAGGGAAACAGAAAAGTGAGCTTTGCCTAGCAGATCAGCCAGCATCACTCTTCGGATTCTGAAAGCTCTGCTTTTCTAACCTCCTGAGAGGGGATGAGGGTCTGGAAAGAATGTTTCTTATTTTTCGCAACACCATTGCGAAGTGCAGATACAGAAAGGGTATTTTCGTTTTGTTTTGTTTAAATCAGGATGCATGCATTTTTTCCCCAGGTGTGACCCTGGGCATGTAGGTCTATAAAAGAGGCAGATGAACTTGCCGATAACAAATCACCAAGACACTGACTTAAAAACAGTGGCTGTAGGGAGCTTTGAATCATGGCAGGCCTGGACTACATAGCAAGATGCTGTCTCAAACAAACAAACAAACAAACACGAAGGCACGGCTGAAGTTAAGGTGGAGGCACAAGCTTTATATTTTCTGCTTCTGGCAGAGAGCTGATCCTGGCTCTCACTGGACAGCTACGTGACTCCAGGACAGTTTGTGACCCAGAAAAGGCCCCAGGGCTAACTTGGGCTCACCCTTAGACTTACAGGATGATTTTCACAGAAGACTCAAACATTGTTATTATTATTATTAATTTGCTTATGTTTTATGTGTAAAAGTGTTATGATTATGTGTACATCCTGAAGAAACTCTGGCTAGCTCACGTGTGGCAAGCAGGCCTTGCCCTTCTCCCCCATTCCCTCTGCCTTGATAAAAAACCAAAAAACCATTAGATACATTGCTAAGGCTGGCCACCAAGGTCTCTTCTCTCATTTGGCCACTTCCTACTCCTGAGACTGACTACCAAGGTCCAACTATCAAAGTATTGAAGTCAAGAAATCAAAAGCTCCCTTTGACTCACCTAATTAACATGCCCAATTTAACACCTCATCCCAACATCTGTACCTATATAAGCTTGCATTTGCCTATAGGCCACATCTGTTTCCTCTCTATCCAGAGGCAGTTTTTTTTTTTTTTTTGTCCCAATTTGGGACAAATATCCCTCATCCCTCTTCCATGTTCCCTTTTCTTTCTTCCACATCTTCTATCTCCTGTCTTTGTCTCTAATTCCCTGCCTTCTGTCCCTCTGGGGCAAATGAATCTTCTTTGCACTGAGAACTTGATCTTGGGGAGGGGTGTCCTAAGCTGATACTTTTCCTTTCACATCTGAACAACACTTGAATGCATGGCTCAAAAGTTTTCTTTCCTCCAAGGCAAGTTCAGCCTGAGCTCTAGTACAATCTCCTCTTTCCACGACTTTAGACATAGCATTGACAACTTGTGGGGCAGGAGTGCCATCTTGTGGCTATCCTCAAGAACTCCATACGCCTAGATGAACCAGTTGCTAGACTCGCCTTATGAATTTGGGGCAGATTTGCTGCTGGTATAGATCCTGGCCCTGAAAAGCTTCATGCTATAGGACACCAGAGGTGACCATTTTTTTTTTAATGTCTAAAAGATTCTCCAACACCACATAAGTCACAAAATATTGCGTGCTTCAGCTGTAAGCACATTTTTTTATAGCTAGGCACATTTTCAATTTAAAACTAATTTCTCATTGCTCATTGAATTGGAGAACAATGAAACTATTGCACTATTAATAAATATGGACTAATATTTAATTTTCTTTTGAATTAAGTGAAGACACTCATGAAAGAGCTTTCCAATTCTGTCCCCTTAGCAAAGTCACGTCCTCTCGATATTTCCCAAGTAGTAGAAACACACTTACTCACCGGAAACCGTGGCACTGTATCAGCCCGAAAGCTGAGGTTTGGCGAAGGCCTGCAGCGGCCTCCGCAGCCCAGGGTGAGGTGTCCTTACTGAGTTAATCACAGGGAAGGGTGCAGTGCTGACTGGCCACGGGCTGGTACTTTTCGGGGAATGACTTAGTCCATGCACAGCCCCACAAGGCAGGACGTTGTCACACTGGCTGCAGCAGCAGCCTCTACCGTCCCAACAACCTGGTTTTCACCCATAGGTTATTCATTGTTCTTTCAGTAGCTAAAGCAGTTGACACACACACAGAGAAAAAAAAAGACAACTATGTTCTTTCTCCAGCTGTATGTGAATACAGAGAATTTTGACTAACACAGAAAAGCATCGCACACCATGAACATGTTGAAAAGAAACCTTCTGCCTGTTCACTGTATTCGCCATTCTTTTAAAAAAAAAAGAGGGAGAGAGCATCATCTACTATTGGTAGATGTTTGTGTGTACTGCCTTTCCTACAAGCACAGTGGAATAAGTGTGACAAGTCTATCACATAAGCTACCTAACTTTCTGTTTTCAGTAGACGTGCGAGAAGAGCCATTTAGGCCTATCACACTATCACAAAATACCTGAGGCTTGCTACCTATTAAAAGATATTTACAACCGACCTTTCAATAACCAAGTTTTAATTTTTAAAATTAAAACTAACTTTTACATTTATATGACAGTTTGGCTTTTGAAGATTTGCGATCCTTAAAACCAAAACAAGATTCTAAGGTTATGCCAAGCATTGGGACACACATACTTATGATCCCTGACATGGGAGCTGGAGGGAAAGGTCTCTGCAGGTTTGAGGCCAGGCTGAGCTACACAGTGAGACTTTTATTTTTAAAATGTGTAATCAAACATTTAAAACAGAAAAAAAATGAGGAGGCAAAAAACTCTCACATACCAATGACGTGGCCTAGAAATTTGAGCTAGAGTGATAGCTCAGTCTATAAAATACTTGATATACAAGCATAACGACCTGAGTTTGAGTCTCAGAACCCACCTAAAATGGCTTGGTGTGTTGGCACGTTCTTTTAATCCTAGCACTGGGGAGGCAGAGAAAGGCCCATCCATTAGACTCTTGCTATTCAGCCCAGACTAACTGGTGTGTTCCACATTAGTGAGAGCTCCTGACTTTAGAAACACCAGAAGGTTGACCTCTGGCCTCTACATGCATGTGAACACACATGCCCTCCCATATGTTCACCCTCCCCACAAACACACAGGCACACAAACACACGCAGGAAAAGTTAGACATATAATGAGTACGCAGAATGCATGCACGGACAATATTATATTATATCACTTAGAGCCATAAAACACACAAGAAATATGATCACAGAGCACAGGTGGTACCACTTCTAGTCAAGAGAAGTACAAGGACACAGCATTAAACTGCAGCTGCATTACAGTAACTGTCGCCGCCCTGGGACACTTCGTGGCCACCTTCTCTGGCTGCCTCATGGGCTAGCGTTCATCGGCTTAGCACGCTTATCACCGTGTGAGCAGCCTCCTCAGGGCTGGGCATAAAGAATGCACCACCCTGGCCCTGATTTACCTCATGTGGGTTCTGGAAACCAAACCCTTGTCCTCTGGTGTGCATGCCAAGTGCGTTGTAGACCGAACTTTTCGTAATTTTACAAAGTTAAAAAGTGACTTCTCATAATTTCATCATCCGTAATACATTTATCATGTGAAGACATCTCAATCCCCCATGTTATGGCCTCAGTGTCTGCCCAGTGTAGGTTTCTGGGAGACAAATTTACCATGCAGATTTTTGACAGTGAGCACTGTCAGTGTCTGCAGCTCCATCATCCAAACAGCTACTGTATTTGGAAGCTGGAGTTCCAAGACAGTAGGCTCCTTCTGGTCAGCCTCTGGCCAAGGCCTCCTAGACGCACCACAACAGCGTGGATGGGATCCTGTAGTGCAAATGACTGAGGTAGGGAAGTGGGGAGATGAGGTGGGGAAGGAGAGAGGGAGAGAATGGAGAACACTGCATAGGAAAATGGGAGGTAAGAAAGCTGGAGAGCTACGAGTGGCTAGCTTGATGTGACCCGTCCATTAATATGATCCTGAGATGGTCCCCATAATCTAGTTTTCATCCAAGATTCCACCACCTAAGCCTCATCTGTGGACCACACTTCTAGCACATGGACACCTGGAAACACAGTCCACATCGGTAAATAGCACAGTCTGTATTAATTCCCTAAGAACAGCCTTTATACCTGATATGTTTATTTCCACAGAACTCTACCTCACGAAGGATGACCTGAAAAAGCTTCATGATTTTGAGGAGCAGTGTGTAGAGAAATATTTCCATGAGAAGACAGAAGGTCTGAATTGTAGTTTTGAGGAACAAATCCAAGTGACGTCAGAAAGGTAAAGTATAATTAATTAATAATTAATTCCCCAAACTGCTACCAAATGATAGTTGTCCTAGGATGTCTAAAAAAATACAGATTCACTTTCAAAGCCCAGAGGTGTGAGTTCTGTGGAATTTGAAGCATGCATTGCAATATGGCTTATGTATTCAGTATCTATTTATTGGACATTGGTGTGTTCTAGACAGTCTTCACATTGCCAAAGGTAAGTGGAGACAAGAAGTTCTGACAGACTTACATTCCAGTGTTTGCATGTGGAAGGGTGAAGGAAAATGAAGGAGCAGAAAAGACAAGATAATCAAGGAAGCAGATGCAGAGAACATACACGTTAAGTTGGACAGTAAAAAAAAAAAAAGCTATGAAAAACTGGTTGTAGTGGCGCACATCTTTAATCCCAGCACTCAGGAGGCAGAGGCAAGTGAATCTCTGAGTTTGAGTTCAGTCTGGTCGACACAATAAGTTTTAGGACAGCCTCGACTACAAAATGACACCCTCTCTTAATACATACATACATACATACATACATACATACATACATACATACATACATA